TCTTGTTTCTTCATTTTTATCCATTGGCAGGGGGATTCAGAAGGATTCATCAGCTACTTAACAACACTTTCACTGCAATCAATAGCTAAACTCTAAATACTGCAGCTGGAAACAAAAAATAGGCTACTGCTGAATATATTAAAAAGCATTCCAAGCTGGTCCAACTCCGGCTTGGTGCCAGGTTCCCCTAACCGCAGGGGAACCAACTTTTTCATGATCAAAGCTGAATCCAGACCCTGTCTCACTGTCCAGTTGTTTCCTAACCTAGTTCAGATTTAGCTTCTCTCTGCAGTGGATCTTATCATCTGCTAATGATTTCAGTAGATCAGGGCTCCACTCAGCAGCTGGGAACAGCTAGGTCAGCCAACATCACTGTCTGAAAGTTTGTCTGGGAAGTCCTAAAGCAAAGTATTGAGAGGGAGGGAAGGAAGGAGGGGAGAAAGGAAGGAAAGAGGGAGGAAGCTGCTCTCATTAATTCCCGTCTTTACCTTAACTTGAAGGAGCCTAAATTTGTGCTTCAGGAGATACTTTGCCCAGGCCTCTCTCTTTATGTTTGAGGCAGAAATGAGTGACTTCTTACACATTTAAAGTATGTGATTAGAAATTCTCAGATTTTCAAAATTTAAGGCCACAGAGGCTGGTATTAATATAGTAAGAGCAACATATAACATCAACCACAGAAGCTTCTCCAAATCCTTCCTGCTAGGAGTACAGCAGCGGAAGCTGAACTACAGATTAGGATTTAGAAAACCACAGAACAGTTTAACATTAAACTTAATGTTCTTCCACGGGGAAGAACTCACCACAACCCTGGGCAATTTGTTGCAATGAGTAACTTCATCCAGTGGTCAAATGGGCACAGGATTTCTATTTTTCAAATTGGCTACCTAGAGCTATCAACTACTAGTTACCAATATATGTTTGTCTCCAAGTCTGCAATTTCCTCTGTCATCAGGTGCCTACCTTCCTCACAGGTATTTCCAGGCCATAACTAAGTCATTTCTTAAACTTCTTCTTTCTTAAAACCAGGAAGCTTAAGTCCCCCAAGTCTCTCATAAAAGACAGACTCAGATCGTTTACTTATTCCTTCAGATCTGTTCTGAACTGCCCTCAGTTTCATAACATTTCTTCTTGAAGAATGGATACCCAAACAGAACATGCTGTGTTTCAGCAGTTTTTGCAGCAAAACAATGACAGTTATTGCACGAGTTTCCATATCAAAAGGGGAAAAGCCATGGAAAAAATGGAAGCCATCACAGAACAGAGGAGAAAAAAAATGACATGCACTAAAAGAAAAGAAAAAACAACTGAAAGGAAGTGGAAAAGGAAGGAGAGCAACAGCGTAGGATAAGGCAGCAAAGAAAGTAGTTATAGAAACAGGAGCTCAGGAAGAAATGAGGTGTTGAACAGACCAAGTAAACAGTACCTAATTACTTGTACGCTTTCCCTAATTATCTTGGCTGCTCCAAGAGGCCAACACACCATCCTGCTTCTATCTCTTCACACAGCTAGCCCAGGCAATCGGTGATCCCTCCCTTCCATGCCATGCCTGAAAGAGCCCTCCTGCTTAAGGCAGCAAATTGCCCTTTTGCAGAGTTTTCTGGAAGAAGGACTCACCGCGACCACAAGGCCCTAAAACAAACACCCATTGCCTCCAACCCCACACCTGTGTTTCAAGTGAGCTCCACAGAGAAACATGGAAGGGACTTGGTCCCTTCCCACCCCTGGCCTGGAAGTACCTGCCTTGTTTGGAGGCCCATACCGGGGATACGGCTGGAACACAAGGCGCATGCGCACACAGGGCCCACACATATGGAGCTCTGGTCGGGGTCATCAAGAGTGGGACATCTGCGTCTTTCTCAGGACGTCCGCGTGTTCAAATAATGAGTGTGAGGCCAGCTGTCCCCTTCCCGCTCCTCACCCTTTATGCTCCTGCTGCTTCTCCTAGGGCAGCCTGGCCTTTCCAAAGGATGTTGTGGTTGACAGGTCGCCAAAAGAAGAGCTTTCCCTTTGTTTATTCCTTGCAGAGGGAGCCAAAAGAGGGCTGACAAGGGGCTTCTGAGTATGTCTGATCAGGTTCCCCAACTCCTTTCAGCAAATATGTGATACATCAGAGCAAAAATTACCTTAAACCCCTTGAAAGAGTCATCAACTCTCCTGGTGGTACTAAAAATTAATCCATCAATTAGGAGCCTACATTTTCAGGATTTGTTACTGCTTTATGCATGCATTTAGCTCTTACATGCTGGGCCAAAACCCTCTCACTCCCAAAGTGATGATGTAGGAGTAATCCTGCAAAATTAGTGAGCCATTTTCCAACTCAAAAACTCCCTAAAACCTATTCACTTAAGAGGCCTCTTTTCTGATTTACGCTTCAGCAAAGCAGAAGAGACCCTCTCCCTATCAGTGTGGTTTCTCAACAAAGCACTTGAACGGACAAAATATTTAGCAGTCGTGTGAAAACAGGAGTGAGAGCAGAACCAGAAACCTCATTCTCATCTAACAAATGCCATTTGTATCTTTGGCCCAAAAGCCACACACCTAAGCAGGACCCAGGTGGACCCGGGAGGGGAAGAGGGCTCCTACAAGCAGGTCCCACGGAAGGGCTCACATTGCATCGGGCAGCAGCGTCTGCTCAGGCACTCGGCTGCTCCGCTTGCTGCACCGCGCGCTGCATCGCGCTGCCTGCGCAGCATCTCCATAGCAGCAGTTCTCATAATTGAGACCAGCTGCTTCAATTCCAAATTCTTTTCCCCAGAAATATTGATACTATTACGTTATGATTAGAAAGCACTTTACCAAATGCTCCGCAATTCTGCACAGTTCAGATGAGGAGCAGCTGCAGAAAGAAGGGAACAGTTCCCTGAATGGTCAAAATCAAACAAATGTGCACTGCAAAAGCACTGGAGAAGCGAGGGCTGCAAGAAGCAAATCAAAATAGAAATGGGAAGGCAGGAGAGAGCAGCTTGCTGTACGTGCCTGTGCCTGTCATTTTAGATGTTGAAAGGACTGTGAGCAGACTCCTTCCTTATGCTCTAGGATAAATGGCCAGAGTAGTGCAGTTTTAGCTTCATGCAGCAGGTGTGAGTATTTGTCAGATCCAGTTTTTCTGTCCAGGGATGGATTAAAGCAAAATCCATCAATCTGGGCCTGGCTTACTGGCCATAGACTTGAAATATTTGGCTTCAGAGACCGTTCTGCGGGGCCCTCTGGCCAAGAGAGGCACTGGAACCAATGAGCCAGGAGCAGATCTGCAGAGCAGGATGCCACCACAGCGTCCCGCGTTTGGCCTCGCCGGCACCTATTTCCCTGCGGCTGCTGTCAGCTGGCTGCTTGGCAATGGCCACCTTGGGATGGCTGAAAGCTGGGAGCAGTTTTCCTCTTCAGCCAGGCTAGATTAAGCTTGCTAATAGCACAGTGAATTCCAAATTCACTTACAAATCTCACAGTCTGCCTCTGACCATCAGACCAGGGGCAGCCCTGAAAAGACATCTGGTTACTGAGCTTAGGTGAGAACTGGGCTAACTGCTTCGATTCCATATGTTGCTCCTGAGCACAGGGAACAGAATCTGAAAATCTCACAGGAGATCTGCAGATGAGAATCCTGACAAAAGGCACCATTACCTTCTAATGGGACCTTGTAGGATGTTGAGGAAAATGTGGCCCTCTTCAGCATGTGGTTGTATAAAGAAGGTCCTAACATTGTTTCATTACTCAGATTTTATGCTACAATCGGAGTAATGCAAATAAACTAAAGCAGAGAGATCAGTTTGCTATGCTAAGTGATTTGCCTCCTACTCTGAAAATCAATGAGGTAAATAAAATGTTTTTACAAGATGCTGGTTACTGACAGTATCTCTCTGCTATCAAAATACTCATGTTTTACAAAAAATATTCCTAGCATATTACTCCTGAAAACATTCAAAATGCATATTGCCTCATTCAGGTTTTTCCATTTACATGCATGGTTTGCTGTTGCTGGGTTCCCCTCATATGCCGAGTCCTTTGAGTTGGAGTTTTCTTGCTTAAGACACTTTCTAATTTCCAAGAAGCATAACCCGAACACTGCTTGAACTCACAGTACTGCAGGAGAGCAAATATTTTCCCAAATCCCAGAAAGGCAGGTCTGGAAATATCACAATTGAATATAAACTTTAAGAATCTCTCCTTAAAAAGTAAACTTTGTGTGCCTACCACTCACTAACCTCCTATTTCTTTAAACTCCATTTTCCTTCTGCTCCGAATTTCTATATTCACTTGTGCTAGAAACCAGATGACATCCTCAAGTGCACAGAATAAAAGACAGCATAAACTTCTATGTGCTCATACAGCAGTTAACCTCGGGGACGTGCTGGAAGCTGCACAAAAAAATATCAGTAATATTTGCAGGTCGCTGCCTGGCGGGATGCTCGTGCTTGCAGTGGAGCTGTCCTCTCTTTCATTTGCTGGATTTGGCCTTTCTCATCACCAAATGACATGAAAAAACTGCATAGGGTGTTTTCTTGTTTGTTTGTTTTGTTTTTTTTGATTTCCAGTCAAGGGCACTAATGTAAGCAGATGCTTATCACAAGGCTGGGCGTAAACCTGACTCTCTGACCCCTGGGAGCACTCGGATAAAATCTTTGCCGGTTTCCAGGGGCGCAGCTCGGTGGATGCGAAGGGAATTACAACCACCTAAATCGGCGAATGCTTCAAGTGCCCTGGCGCAGGGATCTTCCACCGCCCGACTGCAGTGCATCTCAGAAGCCCCGCACGTCTGCCCCAGCAGAGAAGTAACAACTGAGACTCACCATTAATTTTGTTTGCAAAACACATGCAGACACTTGTTTAATTTCAGCTGCCCTCGCTTCCCCCATCACTGAATTATTGTTATTGTGCTGCACATAATCCTAGTACTGACAGGGATGTTTGTTAAACATAATTAAAGATATTAATTTTGCATGGAACAGAAGACAGAGCCAAGAATTTATTTTTTTTAAAATGTCCTATTAGAAAATTACCTTCATTAGCACCGACTCGCTGAGCTTCTCTCTGTTGACAATTTTTATGGCAACCTTTTGACATGTGACACAGTGAACCCCCAACTTCACAAGTCCTGCGGGAAAAAGAGAGGGAACAAAAGAAGAATTGGTTAGAGATAGCCACTGTTGAGATTTTTGCTATTAGTATCTTACCCAGCGGTTGACCATTTACATGAAAATGAATTTCCACTAGTCCTTCCTGCTGCCAGATAAAGTCTTGTGAATAATGAAAGAACTCAGGACCATCTGACAGCAAAGCTGCCAACTTGCCTACCAGGGCTGCAGCCTACCAGGGCTTGCCTACCAGGCTGCATCAAAGCTGCATTTTTGCCGAAACACCCTACTGCAGCTCTTGCCATTTCAAGCACTTTCCACCACTAAAACACAAACTTTTCCAATTTAACTGCACCAGATGAGGAGTATTTGGCAACACTTGGCTGCAATGAAAGCTCAGAAATCAGCAAATAGGACGTCCAAATGCCTGCAATGGCCACTGCATTTCTTCTCACTCTTTCCAAAGCTTTCATGCTCAAGATAAAAAGGTTTTTTATGTGGCTTTCCCTTACTACTTTAATTTAGCCATGTAAGGCTAATACTACAATGAATGCCATTACGGCATGGAGACACATCAACAGGTACAGCTACAAGTCTATATCCTTGCTATTATTTACTATATCCTTTTCATCCCAAAGCAACTCAGAGCAATTAAATGATTACATTTGCAAAAGCATACAGATAGCCTTATCTCCCAGAGTGCCTGAGGTATTACCACAAACATGAAACAAAACTCAAAGAATTAATTAAAGCAAAAAGGTAAATGACATAAGAAAAGCATTATCCTCTGCAGAAATTTGCTCTAAAGCTGATGACTTGCACCAAAGCACAAGCACAGTGAGGTGTCTCCCATGGGTGAGCAAACTGGGCATCAGGGCTAGACACAGTCCCTTGGGCTCTCAGCTCTAGCAGCTCCGGTAGGACAGAAAGCCCCACCTGGAAAAAGCTACTTCACCCTAGAGAGAGATGTTTGTCTCAACTCTTCCTCTTGCACATCCTGCCCAACACCTAGCAGGCTGCCTTCCATCCCACCCCATCCTGCATATAAGGCCTTGTGCACACCAGATTTGGTGCATTTCTCCTTTTTTCCCAATTTCCTTTTTTTCCCAGTGTAGAAAGTCTGCACTGCTGTTGCATTTCGGGAGACGGAGAAGACGTCTCTTGCAAACTGAAGTTCCAACCATCAAGTAGGATGCTGCTCTCTCCTCCCAGGCAGGCTTCTGATGTCCACCTGCAGGCAGATGCAGGGGCACCAACACGCTGGGTCTCCCAAACAGGCTGTTACTGCTTATGAGCTGCAAACACGGAGCTGCTTTTGATCTTAGCCACTGCACTTCAGCAGAAACAGAGCCCCATAATTCCAGGTCAGGGAGAAAGAAGAAGAAACGAACACACGCAAGAGCAGGGGATGTGCAAGCTAACATCGGCTTTTCATGTATAATTAAAAGCCACAAGCGGAAAATCAAGGAGAGCATATGGCTGTTCTCCACAAAAACGAAGGAAAAAGAAAAAAAGGAGGTCTGGATGACACAAGGGAAAGCTGACACGCAAGGAAGGAGAGCAAAGGGAAACTTCTGGGCCTGCCACATCCTAACACTGCCCTGGCCTGGTAATGAACATGCCCGTGCATGGGAAAACTCCCACCGTGCAGGTGCTTGGAGATACAGAGCTCTCTTCTGAAAGCAACAGGAGCTTGTGTGATGAGTGGAGGGCAGAGGAGATTAGCTGGAGAGGGGACAGCCCAGCTGGGAAGAGGCACTAACAAGTCATGAAATAACACAACAATGAATATATTTGAACAAACACTATGTTTAAACAATATTCATTATGTTATACTAAGTTTTAACAAATAATGTTCTGCTAGTTTTCAGTCACTAAATTCTGCAGGTTTTTTTTTTTTGAACTGCTAGGCCAATAACTACTTTAAAAAGCGGAATGGCAAGTGTGTTCTATTTGCTGGATTTAACGGTTGCAATTTTTCCATGGAGAAGTGGAGACCTTTACATTTCTTTTGAAATAAAATCAAGCTAATTACATGTTTGCAAGTATCATAAAGCTCTGCAGGAGGGTGGCTCGTCACAGATCACCTGCACACCTAGTGCTGCTCGCTGCTCATTGCACTGCAGAATGTAAAAACTTCTCAAAAATACAGAGTGAAAAGTCTCTGTCTGGCCAATAGCATCTATTTTGGCCGGATGAGCAATTAAAAGAATGTCTAGAGAGAAATATTACTCCTCTTTTAACTTGAGATAGCTAATTGCCAATTATTTCGAGTCAATGAATACTCTGCAAATGTTAATCTAGGCACTGAAGGACACAAACATTTGTGGTTTACTTCAGGGCTCAGACTAGTACTGGTACCAACCACTTTGAATTAAAGGGGGAACAAAAATGTGAGGCTGAACAGATCCAAGAGCACTGATACTTAAAAAGCTTAGCATGTGCACACATTTGTACAAAGTACATGAACTTTGTACAAATGATCTTTGCATACAAGTTATGTTACTTACTTCTCAACCTGAAGGTGGCTACTGAGCACCTCACAAATACTGTTAACGTTAATTCCTGAAAACTACAGACACTGGCACTTGCAATATCTACAAACCCTTGAGGATGCAGTTTAGAAAAATCAACCTCCAAAGCAAATAAAGCACTAACATAATGGAAGCAAAGCACAGGCAAAGGTTTTCAAAATACAGAATTCTTGCTCCTTATTCTCCATAGTTACCTTCACAAACACCTGGTTTTTATGTAGGGTTAAGTTACTGCAGTTACAGCATCTACTGCTGCTGGTTGCACTGAAGTCACTCTAGATCTACACAGTTGAAAACATATTAAATTTGCTCCCCAGCAACATAATTTCCACAGCCACAAAGTAAGGGTAATGGCATTTACATACCCACCTTGCGAGCTCTGTAGGAGGATTAGGTGACTAATCCTTACAAAGCGCTTCAAGAAAGGGAGGGATAGGGACTAGAACCTTATGCAAGTTCTAGTTCTAATACTAAAACCAGGAAAATTGCATCTCAGATAATAATCTCAGAAAGGGCTAATAATTTCATATTAATAGCTTCCATTTCATTCCCCACGTGTCCTAATACAGAACTTTCTGGCTTCTTGCAACAGGCTTTTTTCACCTTTCGTAGCTGTGTTATCGTAACTGAGCATCATACTTCTAGAAACCAGTAATTGTCTTTAATTACTCGGTCTTCTTATTAAGCAGATGTTTATTTTTCAATAGCAATTGTTATCTCTAATTACTGCCTTTAAAGTAAACAGAGCCTTATATAAAGTGATGTACAAATTATACAGTATCAATTTATAATTGCATATAGGGAAAGGAGGTAGAGGATCATCTACGTAACTAAAGGAAGGAGGAGAGAGCTACTTGCTTTGGCAATGAAGTAATTCGACCACAAGCTGTTGTGCGGAGAGCTTCTAGGGCTAGAAAGCTGTTCTAAGGACTCGTGAAGTAACTGCTCCTAAATTGAATAAACTGTAATTACAGTAGGACTAAAGTTCAAGTGCTGAGGAGGAGCGTGGCAGATGCTTCTCGGTGCCAGGACTCGCACGCCTCAGCTCAAAGCGCAGGGGAGCCGCACACCGAAATGCTGCAGCCCGATCTACCCTCCTGAGCCGCGAGCGCTGAGAGCCACACGCTCGCTCAGGCAGCCCGAGGGCTGCATGGCGACATGCCGGGATGGGGGGGACAAAGCACCAGCTCTGAAGTGATGGGATCCACAAGCCTGATGCCAGAGAACAAGAGACACAGACACACACGGACTCCAGCTCGCCAGGAGTGGGTTTTACACTATGTGCCTCAGAGATTATGGTAGGATCATCCTCTGAGCTCAGCAGGATCAAAACACACAGAACCAACATCACCCCTATTGATTTTTATCTTGGTCTCTTTCTTGCAATATTTCATAAATCAATACTCCCCAGCAACCCTTTGTGCCCGCTGACTGCAGCGGGAACGTGACCGTGGAGCTCTGTAGCGGTGCTGCCTGCCCCGGCCCTGCAACCACACCCCCATGTCTAGGGGGTGCCCCAAGGAACAAGGACACCAGCCCTCATGTGGACACAGATGCCGCTTTTGTAAATTCAGCGCCCCATTCTAACGAACTCCTGAGGTCCTCCGGGATCTAGCAGCAGCTTGCGATGTCTAGTGGGCTGAGCTGCTGGTTCAGATCAAGTCTTTTGTTCCCATATAAAAACACCAGGAAGACTAAGCCCGGCATCACTGGAGAGCAAGAGGCTGCAACTTCCAAGCCTGTGTGCAAAAGCGTTCAGGCAGCCCCCAACCCATGCAGAATGGCAGAGCAAAGGGTCCTTCCACTTTTTTCAAATGAGAGAAATTAAAACAAAACAAGTTTTTCCATTGTTGCAACAGAGAGGGGGGAAAAAAAAAAAAAGGATAAATCTTGAAAAACTCTGCTTTTGTCCTCACCTCTCCTAGGCAAAAACTTGCTTCCCTGCTTCTTTCTGCCCAGAGCAGCCAGAGCTGTAAAACTCTTAAAAAAAAAAAAAAAAAAAAAAAAATCCTCCTTGAGGAACGATGAGATCCAAGTGCCCCTTCAGATCTCATTACTTCTTTGTCAGGAGATGCTCAAGGATGGTCATTTTCAGTTGTTAGGCAGAAGTAGCAGGAAGTCAGCGGAGTCCTGTCTATCCTTGCTAAGGAAAGCCAGAGAACACGTCACTCTAATTAGGTAACAGCTGGGTAATGAGCTGCAATATGCCTGCTTGGTCCAGGACTGACACACGCGCAAGGAAGGGTCGCTGCGCTGAGGAGGGGATGGCAGGCAGTGCACAGCCTGCTCTTCACAGGTTGTTTTAGCTGCTTCTAATCCTGTCTTCTAGGCTCAGTTCTCACATCTCCCCTTCCTCCACACTGCACCTTCCCATCCTGCCCTAGCCTGTCTCCGTCAGGAGGCCCTGACTCTCTCTTCACTTTCCCTTCAGCCAGATTGTTTCAGCTAGATTACATGTATATTAAGAACATAATTAAAAAGGG